GGGTTTAGGGTTTAGGGTTCCGAGGCTTTCGTGGTCATGGTTCACGTATGGTAAGCTGCGTTGTATGTAAAGCTCAGTTTTCATGGCACAGAGTCGCTGCTTGCACTTTGCTGGGTCCGTAGACTCGGATTCCGGACGGCGTAATGCAGGGGCCTGAGTAATTTCAATAGGGTATTGGGCTATACTATGCTATAGTTGCAGCAAGGAACATCCCAACATAGTTTTGGTAATTGAACCCTTAGCCTAAACCCTAAACCGTATCCTGCTTGTTACTGGCCCCCATGCAACAACTCGAAACGTTCAACTTGCCGGGCTCCCTCCCCCGCCTCACCTGGCACCTACTGTAACTAATTAGAATAGGGTCTTGGGCTCCTGGATACTATACATATGATGAGGGACGCTAATTAAGGAATAATCTGGATAATTATGCTATAAATATGATAAGGGACTGTAATTAAGTAATAATATGGGCAATGAATCTGTAAATATGATGAGGGACCCTAACTAAGGAATAATCTGGATAAGTATACTATAAATATGATGAGGGACCCTAATGAAGGAATAAGATGGATAATTATACTATAAACGTGATAAAGGGACCGTAATTAAGGAATGGTATGGATAATTATACTATAAGTTTAATAACGGACCCAAAGGACGATTTGGTAATTATTGCTCCTATGTTATACACCTTGTCTGCTATATGACGCATATACAAAGAGCAGTACCCCGTACCCTGGAAAGGCAGGATCCAGGGCAGCGGCGGGACTCTTGAGGCATTTCTGGAACCTGTATATAATCCTGTATAGAATCCCTATAAAAGCATGACGAACCCTATAAAGACTCAGAAACCACTCGGCGTAGCCTTGCTTCGTTTGGGTGCCGGTGCGGCAGTGCTGAGGTGCACGGAGTCGGATTCCACACACCACCTGGGCTGAAAGGTTTGCAATTGAAGTTTGGGGCTTCGCAGGTTTAAGATGAGGGCCTTATAGCAATTAATTATATAGAGTAAGTGTTTGGGGCATCGCATACTACGAGTATGCTTGAAATGAGGAACCCAAAGAAATAGGAATGCTTCTATCTTAGGGCTCAGGGGTTTGGACCAAGGAAGTATACACTAAACCCTGAACCCTAGACCTTAAACCCTAAACCCTAAACCCTGAACCCCAAACCTTAAACCCTGAACCCTAAACCGTATCGGGGTTTATGGGTCCAGGCTTTTCTCTGGAGAGTTGAGGCCTCGGGTCTTGTCCTCCTTTGTGGCGCGTCCTACTGTTGATGATATAAATCCTGCACTACCTTAAGGGTTTAGGGTTTAGGGTTTAGGGTTTAGGGTTTAGGGTTTAGGGTTTAGGGTTTAGTTTAGGGGTTTAGGGTTTATAGGGTTCAGGGCCTTCAGGACCCCAAAACTATGGGACTTATGGTCTATTCCTTATTACGGGTACTTTAGGATTTAGGGTTTAGGGTTTAGGGAAGTTTAGGGTCTATTCCTTATTACGGGTACTGCAGGAGTTAGATCATCAACAGTGTTGAAGTTTACATGCAGCAACTTTTCTCGGGATCCAGCCTCCCCCAAGTGAGTCCTACAAGTACTTACTAAACCTATAAAACTTGGTATTAACTAGGGTTTGAGGTTTAAGTTTCGAGGATCTGAAGCTATTGGGAAAGCGGTCCCAAGACATAGGTGGCTTCAGAGATCCGTATACTTAGTAACCTATCTTTCCTTTCCTGTCTATCTATATATATATATATATTACCGTGCCTATTTTTCTGAAACTCTTAACCCTGAACCCTAAACCCTAAACCCTAAATACTGACTGCCAACGCAGCGTACGGTTTCGGGCGTAAGCCTTCCGGACTTGGGGCACTGCCAGTGGATCTCGACAAAACTGGGTTCACATACTTGGAGGCCCTTTTGACTTAGTAAGTAGGGTTAGTAAGGTGGGTTATGGGGATTATANNAAGTCAAAGGGGCCTCCAAGTACTGTTTGAGGAACACCCGGTGTCTGGCTTCTTAGGGTGGGTGTTAGGGGTGGGCCTAAACCCAAAGCCCTAAAATGGGCTTCAAAGACAACATACGAAGGATAAGGAGCCAACCCACGATCTGAAACTAAAGCAGTAAAACGTCACTAAAACCTAAATGGGAGCTTCCGAAAATTAGGGGTACCTTATTTTGGGGTCCTTATATTAAGGATCCTATTATTTAGGGTACTATATTAGGGTCCCCTATTTTCGGAAAACCCCAAATAACATAGCCGCTTGTGCAGCATTTGTAACCTGATTTAAGAAGTCCCGTGATCCTCTAAGTAACCCCACAGCCGGGATGCTCCATGAGATACTTCTCGTCCTGGGACCTTTCGTCTCCATAGTGGCTTCAGCTGTAGGGTCCATATGGTTCAGGTTTTAGGGTTTAGAGTTTTAAGGGTTTCGGGTCTGGGGTTTCCTGTCTAGGATTCCGCTTTGGGGGTTTAGGGTTCGGGGTTTCGGGCGTAGGGCTCAGGGTAAAGGCTTCACGGTCAAGCGTTGTGGGTTTAGGGCTTTGGGTTTGGGGTTTACGCTTTAGGGTTTAGGCTTTAGGATGTAGGGTTGAGGGGTTCCGGATCTAGCATGTAGGTTTAAGGTTTAGGGTTTGGGTGAAGGTTTTCAGGTTTAGATGTGCATACAAGGCTTCGACGGAGCTTCAATACATTACAGTCCCAGGTTGCTTCGAAAGAGCTATTAATGTCACTCTTATCACAAGGAAACCCTAAACCCTAAACCCTACAGGCGCCTACTTGTGAGACACCCGTGTTTGTCAAGGAAACTGGATGTCTACCGCCTCCAACCTCAACCAGCGAGCCTTCAACCACAACCCTCAAGCCTTAACCTCTCTCCTGTGTTTCGGGTTTAGGGTTTGGGGGTTCGGGGCTTAAACTTTAATCGATCCGTCGGCAACTGTTGTTTACGGCTGGGGAAAAGTAAAAGACGGTTTCCGAGGAAGAAAAAACGGTTGCCGACGAAGCTTTTGCAGTTGCGGGCGAATTCGTCGGCAACAATTTTCTTCGTCGGCAACCGCTTTTCTTCGTCGGCAACGTTTTTTCTTCGTCGGCAACCGATCTGTCTTCAATTGGAAGTTTTCGCGATTCGTCAGAAACCATGTTTTCTTCGCGAGCTGCCATTTTTTTCTCGTCGGCATCCGCGACTTCTTCGTCGGATTCAGGATTTAGCTCTGAGGGTTCAAGCTTTAGGTCTCCCTAAGCCTTAAAACCAAAGCCCTCAACCCCAAACCCCAAACCCTAAACCCTAAACCCTAAACCCTAAACCCTAAACCCTAAGCCGCAAGCCCTAAGCCCTAAACCCTAAGCCCTAAACCCTAAACTGTCCTAAGCCCTGAGCCCTAAACCCTAAACCCTGAGCCCAAAACCCTAAACCCTCGACCCTATAGCTAAGATTAGGGTCTATGCCCTGGGGTTCAGGATGGAAGCCTACGGGTTAAAGGGGTTAGGCCCTGGGGCTCCGGATTCAGGGTTCAGGCCTCCTTGTGGCTTTTGTGTTTAAAGGTTTAGGGTTTAGGGTTTAGGGTGTAGGGTTTAAGGGTTTAGGGTTTAGGCCTTCTTGTTGCTTTTTTGTTTAAGGCTTTAAGGTTTAGGGCTCCTTGTTGCTTTTTTGTGCAGGGGTTTAGGGTATAGGCCTCTGTTGTGTTTTGTTTTAGGGTTTAGGACTTAGGCTTTT